CTGTAATTGAAATCATGTGTATTAGTTCTCATGATTTTTATAGTCTTGTATTTCAGTAGACCTTTGATTCATGCAATTTTTTACATATTAAAAGAAAAGAGAAATGAAAAAAAGAAAAGAAAAGAAAAAACAGAAAGAAATATGCTTTCTATAACTGCAGGTCTATTATATCTCTATTGCAGTTTTTTTTTTTTTTATGATTGTATAATTTACAAGTTAACATTCCTCATAAGAAAGTAAATACTATAAAGCAATGTAGTGAACACATCTCCTCTTTCTCTCTCTATATAGATAGATAGATAGATAGATAGATAGATAGATAGATAGATAGATAGATAGATAGATAGATTTAGATTTATTTCAAATAGTTTTAAATGAGATGGTAAGGAAGATACATCAAGAATTGTACAAGCCAGGCATACGTGCTATGTATATTCAGATATTACCATGTTACAATAATACTATACAGTTATACAGTATACAGTCCCGGCCACAGGGCTTAAGACTCAACTCCATTAGTTATAGTTGAGAACAGGACAAAGCAAGTCATTTCTAAGTGTTCATACAAGAGTCAGAGAGACAGATCTGCACACACCGGGTGTGGGGGCTCAGCAATACTCACAGTTTCTCTCCCATTGACTTGGATCGTTTTGGCTAAGCGGTTGTCTGCTGACTTGGACCTTCTCTCCATCTCTTCCATGATCCCTTGTATATGTCCCCCGGTTATCCCGTGGAAGAGCATAGCTGCTGGTCGGAAGGGATAGGCACTTTCTTCTGTTCTGCACCCCACAATTTCCATATACAGAAGCCTAATGTGTCCTCCAGCATCCAATCCCAGAAGAAGGTCTGGCAGGCAGCCTTCACACTCTCAGCAGTACCGGTCCTCCTGGAGATACAGTAAGAGATCACAATCAGCCATAGGGCACAGGCAGGTGAAGTGTTGGGATGAAGGGGCTCTGCAGGACAGACAGCACACTGGCAGCAGAGGAGAAGCTCCCTCCACTGATGCTCACAGGACCTGGTCAGAGAAACTTGGGAAAGAGCTCCAACCAACCCATTTCTGATCACTGAGTAGGAGGGGCTCACATTTTGTTAAGCAAAACAAAAGGTTGTCATGCACTGCTGAAGCCCAGAGTGATGGACAAGTGGTGACAAGTGGGGCTGGGGGGGTTACCATTGCCCCCTACTCATTCTCCGTTATTTATTTCAGCCAGGAGAAAGACAGCAGGCTGAGAGCATCAGCTGAACCTCTGTGGATCTAAACAATGTCACAGGGTCGTCCTGGGCACCAAACTGCCTTTTACATCAAATAAGACCGATGGTTGTACCACCTACAGAAGGACACATGGGAAGATCAGGGAGCTAAGTTTACAAACTCCATCACACTTTGACAAAGTTATCCAGGTAGTTTTTGTGTGTATCCCACAAATCACTCCAGTGAGAACTCCTGGGTCTCCCCAACAAGATGTCTTAGGAATGAGGTTTATTTTTTTCCCTAGAGAGACAAAGAAACAAATAGAGAGAAAGGGGGAGAGAAAGGTGGACGGATGGAAGAAAGAGAGAAATAAAGAAAAAAGAAAGAGAAAGGAAGGAAGGAGGGAAGGAAGGAAGGAAGATGCATATCCTCTGCTTGCATCCACTGTCCATGTGGCATTGTAGGATTAGAGGGTGCAGCTGTTGCATGTTTCCTCACACCTCCATCCCTCCACAGTGTTTCAGTGAATGGTGATTTCTACTTTTCTTGTCAGAACCCTCAAGGAGTGAAGGAAAGGAAAGTGCAAGTGTCCCACTGCTGACTGATACCAGAAATCTCCAACCTAACTGGCCAAAAGCAATAACATTTGTTCATTCGATCCATGTATTCTGGATTACTCCTACCACTTGTAACACAAGCACCTCATACCAGGACAAATCTAACGCATGATACTTAGGGGGGTATTGTTTAAGACACATTTCGTGCAATTGGCCGATCCAGATCTCATTGTGTATGGTCAAAGCGATGTTGCCTCAGCTGGAGGTCGCATAGGGAAGACAGATTTAAATACTGCGATCCTTCAGCCTATAAATATTTCATGCGGCAGCACAAGTGATTCCTAGTAATTGAGTGGAAGTAAAGAGGCGATGGATGGTCTCTCCTGACAGCCGGGGAATGCAGCAAGCTGTGAGTAGAGAGAGAGGAGCCAAGTGTACATCATGGTCTGGACAGGGTTCTGCCTGCACTGGACTCACACAGCCCTACCAGGAGCTTGTAGGCTCTCAGAAAAAAACACCAGGGAGCCCTTTGTATGTGCATGTGATGAGAGCCATTGAACGTCTTACAATGGACGTACAAGATTTATCTATCTCTGTGTACAAGGCTAGCTTCTTAGCCAGCTTGTCAACGTGAAAAGAAAAAAAAGATTTACTAACAAAATACACACCATCAATGGCCCAGCAACCAGTTGCTCATTTGATGTCTGTACAAAGATCTCAGCTATAAGTTTTGATTGGCTCTCAGGTTGTAACTTTGACTGAACAGTGTGTTAGTTTGTGTGCACATTGTTATATAATGATGTGTGTGTGTTTTGTTGTATTTATATACCCATTGCACGTGTACCTGCTATTCATTACTTATATTCTACTCAATGAAGTGGCAAATTTACTAAAGGAGGATATTGCACACACTTGCCTGCCTACATAAGTGTCATCTACCTAAACATAATTGGAGAAATTTGTTCTAATCTGAAAGCTTGATACAAACACAAAAGTAAAAATCAGCCCTTTTTAATGAATCAGCCCAAAGTTTCCACTAGGTCTAGTTTCAGGAAGGCTGGCACATCATTTGTATTCTCTATGCCCTGCATGTGCTATCAGACATCTGACAGGGCCCATCAATTCTCAATGTGCCAACATGACGTAAAATAATAATTATAATGCATATAGAAATATTCCCATCAGACAATACTGAGCTACACATACATCCAATACACACACATGATAGGTCTGGATCATAGATAGATAGAGATAGATAGATAGATAGATAGATAGATAGATAGATAGATAGATAGATAGATAGATAGATCGATAGATAGATAGATAGATAGATAGATAGATAGATAGATAGATAGATAGATAGATAGATAGATAGATAGATCGATCGATAGATAGATAGATAGATAGATAGATAGATAGATAGATAGATCCATATCTCTATATCTCTCTCTCTCTCTCTATCTATATATATATATAGATAGAGAGAGAGAGAGAGATATAGAGATATATATATACACATTTATACATTAAACATAACATGAGAACATCACAGGTTTATGTCCTGCTAGTATTTTTTGTTAAACGAAATCTCTTCCTAGTATAACACATTTTAATTCTGTGATCCGTTCCTAATCAGAGGTATAAGTAGGTATTAAATATGTATAGCATATATAGAATTTGGATGCAGACATTTTCCCTCTGTGATTGTGTGTTTTCCAGCTCCTGGTCTATTCCCTGTGTACATCCTAATGGTATTATTCCCGTCCATTCTCTGTCTATTAGAGCCCCGCAAATATATCTCCACACATTGAACATTCTCTTCATTTTTATTTAGAAAGTTCCCTGATACACATGTTCTCCACCCTGAACAGGTGCACAAGAAACAAATGCTGAATTCAGTCTAGGAAAACGGAAATACAATGGATCCCAGAATGCAATACGATTTATTAATATTCAACACAACAGAATATTTTATTCGTTAATACCAAACTATATTTTTATATAAATGCTCTTTCTTCAATGATCCTATAAAAGATACAGCTACAAACCCTACCATCCGCACCCATTATTTACATCTAACAACGGCAGGGACCCATTTCCTAGCGAATTAATAATATGTATCTATTCTTTGTTTTAATACCGCAATAGTGTCCAGTATATACATAGAATTACAGGGCTTTGTATGTCATATAAATCTCATTTTCTCCCCCGCTGATTAGAATAGTTTTCCAGATGTCATCATGGATCTGATCATTTGCATCGCATAAATCCTATTATTTTGGTAGCGAAGTTGTAGATTGCATTGCTCTAAGTTGATTTCTGACAAGAGTCCTAATTATAATAATGAATATTGAGAAGAGTATTTGTCAGTCTACTTTTAGCACCCCTCGTTGAACTGATGCCGTCTCTGCTGCTGTCCAAATGGTATCACTTTGGCCATAAATACCTTGTTAGCTGTGGCCAGAGGCGAGAGGGTGAAGCTTATTGTAGCGTGAAGGCTTGTGTGCAGTGTGATGGGACGGGGCTGGCCACTGATATTGTGTAATGGCAGCTGGGGGCTGAGGTGAGTGAGCAGGCAGGAGGGTGATCCCTGGCACAGCTCACATGGGTCCCTAGAAGCCCATTAGTGAGGAACAGTATACGGAGCAAACCATAGAACGGAGAAGATAATGAGGACTGCTGATCCCTGCTTGCCAGCACACAAGATGCTCATTCAGACACCTACACGAATATAAACAGATAGTGTAACATTATGCATCATCTATACCAAGTGCTAGGTGGCAGTTCTAAATATAGACAAATACACCTAATGTTGAGATTTGATTATCTGCCACAAACACACCACAGGCTCAATTCACAAATATACAAATATACCCTTGGACAAGCATGCTCAATTTCAGTGACATTTATTTTTTTATTTTTATATTTTTAGCTGAAAAAAATAAATAGATGGGAAACCCTGTGTTACAGCTTTGTGAATTGAGC